CAGCCTTATTCTAAAATGGATTGAAAAAAGAAAAAAAACATCAATCTACACACAATACCCCATAATGACAAAGCAAAAACAGGTTTTTAGAAACGTTTGCAAATTTATTAAAAATAAAAACAGAAATACCTTATTTACATAAGTATTCAGACCCTTTGCTATGAGACTTGAAATTGAGCTCCGGTGCATCCTGTTTCCATTGATCATCCTTAAGATGTTTCTACAACTTGATTGGAGTCCACCTGTGGTAAATTCAATTGATTGGACATGATTTGGAAAGGCACACACCTGTCTATATAAGGTCCCACAGTTGACAGTGCATGTCAGAGCAAAAACCAAGCCATGAGGTCGAAGGAATTGTCCGTAGAGCTTTGAGACAGGATTGTGTCGATTCACAGATCTAGGGAAGTGTACCAAAAAATGTCTGCAGCATTGAAGGTCCCCAAGAACACAGTGGCCTCCATCATTCTTAAATGGAAGAAGTTTGGAACCACCAAGAGTCTTCCTAGAGCTGGCCGCCCGACCAAACTGAGCAATCGGGGGAGAAGGGCCTTGTTCAGGGAGTTAACCAAGAACCCGATGGTCACTCTGACAGAGCTCCAGAGTTCCTCTGTGGAGATGGGAGAACCTTCCAGAAGGACAACCATCTCTGCAGCACTCCACCAATCAGGCCTTTATGGTAGAGTGGCCATACGGAAGCCACTCCTTAGTAAAAGGCACATGACCGCCCTCTTGGAGTTTGCAAAAGGCACCTAAAGGACTCTCAGACCATGAGAAACTAGATTCTCTGGTCTGATGAAACCAAGATTGAACTCTTTGGCCTGAATACCAAGCGGCATGTCTGGAGGAAACCTGGTACCATCCCTACTGTGAAGCATGGTGGTGGCAGCAGCATCATGCTGTGGGGATGTTTTTCAGCTGCTTGGACTGGGGGACTAGTCAGGATCGAGGGAAAGATGAACGGAGAAAATTACAGAGAGATCCTTGATGAAAACCTGCTCCAGAGCGCTCAGGACCACAGACTGGGGCAAAGGTTTACCTTCCAACAGGAAAACGACCCTAAGCACACAGCCAAGACAACGCAGGAGTGGCTTCGGGACAAGTCTCTGAATGTTCTTGAGTGGCCCAGCCAGAGGCCGGACTTGAACCCGATCAAACATCTCTGGAGAGACCTGAAAATAGCTGTGCATTGACGCTCCCCATCCAACCTGACAGAGCTTGAGAAGATCTCCAGAGAAGAATGGGAGAAACCCCAAATACATGTGTGCCAAGCTTGTAGCGTCATACCCAAGAAGACTCGAGGCTGTAATCGCTGGCAAAGGTGCTTCGACAAAGTACTGAGTAAAGGGTCTGAATACTTATGTAAATGTCATATTTCAGTTTTAAATTTTTTATACATTTGCAAAAATGTCTAAAAACCAGTTTTTGCTTTGTCATTATGCCGTATTGTGTGTAGATTCATGATATATACAGCTGCGGAAAAAATTAAGAGACCACTGTAAAATGATCAGTTTTTCTTGTTTTACTATTTATAGGTATGTGTTTGGTTAAAAATAACATTTTTCTTTTATTCTATAATCTACTGACAACATTTCTCCCAAATTCCAAATAAAAATATTTTCATTTAGAGCATTTATTTGCAGACAATGACAACTGGTCAAAATAACAAAAAAGATGCAGTGTTGTCAGACCTCGAAAAATGCAAAGAAAATAAGTTCATGTTCATTTTTAAACAACACAATAGTAATGTTTTAACTTAGGAAGAGTTCAGAAATCAATATTTGGTGGAATAACCCTGATTTTCAATCACAGCTTTCATGCGTCTTGGCATGCTCTCCATCAGTCTTTCACATTGATGTTGGGTGACTTTATGCCACTCCTGGCGCAAAAATTCAAGCAGCTCGGCTTTGTTTGATGGCTTGTGACCATCCATCTTCCTCTTGATCACATTCCAGAAGTTTTCAATGGGGTTCAAGTCTGGAGATTGGGCTGGACATGACAGGGTCTTGATCTGGTGGTCCTCCATCCACACCTTGATTGACCTGGCTGTGTGGCATGACGCATTGTCCTGCTGGAAAAACCAATCCTCAGAGTTGGGGAACAATGGTCAGAGCAAAAGGAAGCAAGTTTTCTTCCAGGACAACCTTGTACGTGGCTTGATTCATGCGTCCTTCACAAAGACAAATCTGCCCGATTCCAGCCTTGCTGAAGCACCCCAAGATCATTACATTTTACATTTTAGTCATTTAGCAGACGCTCTTATCCAGAGCGACTTACAGTTAGTGAGTGCATACATTTTTCATACTGCCCCCCCCCGTGGGAATCGAACCCACAACCCTGACATTGCAAGCGCCATGCTCTACCAACTGAGCTACAGGAGGCCTCCACCAAATTTCACAGTGGGTGCGAGACACTGTGGCTTGTAGGCCTCTCCAGGTCTCCGTCTAACCATTAGACGACCAGGTGTTGGGCAAAGCTGAAAATTGGACTCATCGGAGAAGATGACCTTACTCCAGTCCTCTACGGTCCAATCTTTATGGTCTTTTGCAAACCTCAGCCTGGTTTTCTTTGCTTCTCATTGATGAAGGGCTTTTTTCTAGCTTTGCACGACTTCAGCCCTGCCCCTTGGAGCCTGTTTCGAACCGTCCTCGCCATGCACTTCACTCCAGCTGCCGTTTGCCATTATTTTTGTAGGTCACTTGATGTCATCCTACGGACATTCGAATGAGTTGGCGGTCATCCCGGTCAGTAGAGAGTCGTTTTCGCCCTCTGCTGGTCTGTAGCTTTGTTGTCCCCAATTTCTGCTGCTTGACCTTGTTCTTATGAACCACCGTCTTTGACATTTTGAGGATGGAAGCAACCTGACGCTCACTGTATCCCTCTGCCAGTAAAGCCAGAATTGACCCCTTCTTTTCCTCACTGAAAACTTTCCTTTTCAACTCTTTTGGCATGGTCAATAGTTATTTTTTGATTCATATTACTTTTGAGGTATTATTAGCACTGTTTTTGCCATCCAGCTGGTCCTATTGCAAGAGGATAGTGATGACCACAGCAGTGGTTTTTATACTTTTCCTCGTTAAATAAGATCACCTAATCAGTACCTAATTCAGTAGAATGAGGTGTGCCTGAGTTGGAATTCAACAGACACTGGAATGGAATGGCTGTCATACATGTAGAGATGCTGATTTAAGAAACATTTGCAGTGGTCTCTTAATTTTTTCCACAGCTGTGTATATATATATACACACATACATACATACAGTTGATGTTGGAAGTATACATACACTTAGGATGGAGTCATTAAAACTCATTTTTCAACCACTCCACACATTTCTTGTTAACAAACTATAGTTTTGGCAAGTCGGTTAGGACATCTACTTTGTGCATGACACAAGTAATTTTTCCAATAATTGTTTACAGACAGATTATTTCACTTAGAATTCACTGTATCACAATTCCAGTGGATCAGAAGTTTACATACACTAAGTTGACTGTGCCTGTAAACAGCTTGGAAAATTCCAGAAAATGATGTCATGGCTTTAGAAGCTTCTGATAGGCTAATTTACATAATTTTAGTCATTTGGAGGTGTACCTGTGGATGTATTTCAAGGCCTACCTTCAAACGCATTGCCTCTTTGCTTGACATCATGGGAACATCAAAAGAAATCAGCCAAGACCTCAGAAAAAAAATTGTAGACCTCCACAAGTCTGGTTCATCCTTGGGAGCAATTTCCAAATGCCTGAAGGTACCTCGTTCATCTGTACAGACAATAGTACGCAAGTATAAACACCATGGGACCACGCAGCTGTCATACCGCTCAGGAAGGAGACGCGTTCTGTCTCCTAGAGATGAATGTACTTTGGTGCGAAAAGTGCAAATCAATCCCAGAACAACAGCAAAGGACCTTGTGAAGATGCTGGAGGAAACAGGTACAAAAGTATCTATATCCACTGTAAAACGAGTCCTATATCGACATAACCTGAAAGGCCGCCCAGCAAGGAAGAAGCCACTGCTCCAAAACCGCCATAAAAATTCCAGACTACGGTTTGCAACTGCACATGGGGACAAATATCGTATTTTTTGGAGAAATGACCATCGTTATGTTTGGAGGAAAAAGGGGGCGACTTGCAAGCCGAAGAACACCATCCCAACCGTGAAGCACGGGGGTGGCAGCATCATGCTGTGGGGGTGCTTTGCTGCAGGAGGGACTGGTGCACTTCACAAAATAGATGGCATCATGAGGAAGGAAAATGATGTGGATATATTGAAGCAACATCTCAAGACATCAGTCAGGAAGTTAAAGCTTGGTTGCAAATGGGTCTTCCAAATGGACAATGACCTCAAGCATACTTCCAAAGTTGTGGCAAAATGGCTTAAGGACAACAAAGTCAAGGTATTGGAGTGGCCATCACAAAGCCCTGACCTCAAACCTATAGAACATTTGTGGGCAGAACTGACAAAGCGTGTGCGAGCAAGGAGGCCTACAAACCTGACTCAGTTACACAAGCTCTGTCAGGAGGAATGGGCCAAGGTGTTACCGACCCTTATGCCAGGCAGGACAGCTGCCAGTCAAATGCTTTGGTAAACATCACCTCTACCCTGTTATTGAACACTGGGATACCTGGGTAAAGGTGCTGCTCGTAACAGAATAGGGAATGCACAACACCCTTTTGCAGTAAGTGCTGACCGACGTAAAAGTCTCAGCTTGAAAGTCACACACTGAATAACTATGACTCAGCAGTCAAATAAATCACAGCAATGAGGAGTGGTGTGTGCAGAACAAGTTTTAAAAGTGCGAGACACTCATTCTTAAAAAAAACTTGAAAATCATACAGACACTTATCCAAGCATACCCGTCACCACTACATTCATGCATACACCGTGTAGCCAGCCAGCTACCACCACACCACCACCTAACTGTCCCTGAGAGAAGAGGAGAGCAGAGTCGAGGGTTGGGGCTTGTCTCCCTCTCCTGCCCCTGGGAGCGCCCCGGGCGAGCATGGCGGCTCTGCTCTGGGCTGCTCTGCACTGGGCTGGCTGGCTGGCTGAGCCTGTGACCATGGGGGATTAGACAGGATTAGCTTTATGGTAACCTTCCCAAAGTGTCAGTCTGAGACCCATAGTCCTGTGAAGCAGGCAGCCTGGGAATCCAGCAGGCCCAACCCCAACGGCCCTAGCGGCCTCCACAGCCCAGGGGACCAGTTCAGAGGGGATTAATGCCACAGCCACGCCGCCATACACACACACAGTCCTACACACACACAGTCCTACACACACACAGTCCTACACACACACACAGTCCTACACACACACACACATTGGGTGGAGGGGGGGGGGGGGGTACCCTCTGAGTGTAACAATAAAACAAAGGCTCTCAATAATAAATACCTCACATGAGGAAAAGTGTATTTCAGTCTATCGGTCGGTTAGCCATAGCTCAGGGAATTATTGCTCACTAGGATATAGATGAGCTGCTGACTAAATCACATTCAAATGAATGAACTACATTGCCCTTGCTTCTTGCAGTTGTCTTTACTTTCAAGCACTGGTTTTCCAGATAGCGGCTATGATTGTGATATGTGGTTGTTTTACCTACCTTAGTTGAATGCACTGATCGTAAGTCACTCTGGATAAGAGCGTCTGCTAAATAACTATGATGGAAATGCCTTTGACTGTAATGTAATATAATGGTGTTACTTTCCTGTCTCCCACTCTGTCTAGTTTTTATTAGAGATGAAGATTCTGATCCTGTCTAGTATTTATTAGAGATTAAGTCTGATCTTGCCTCCCTCTCTGTCTAGTATTTATTAGTGATGAAGAGTCGGATCCTGTCTCCCTCTCTGTCTAGTATTTATTAGAAATGTGGGTACTTGGTATTTTATTAGGATCCCCATTAGCTGTTGCAAAAGCAGCAGCTACTCTTCCTGGGGTCCACACAAAAAATGAAACATGACATAATACAGCACATTAATAGACAAGAACAGCTCAAGGACAGAACTACATAATACTTTTTTTAAAGGCACATGTAGCCTACATATCAATACATACACACAAACTATCTAGGTCAAATAGGGGAGAGGCGTTGTGCCGTGAGGTGTTGCTTTATCTGTTTTTTTTAAACCAGGTTTGCTGTTCATTTGAGCAATATAAGATGGAACGTAGTTCCATTCAATAATGGCTCTATATAATACTGTACGCTTTCTTGAATTTGTTCTGGATTTGGGGACTGTGAAAAGACCCCTGGTGGCAGGTCTGGTGGGGTAAGTGTGTGTATCAGAGCAGTGTGTAAGTTGACTGCAAACTATTTGGGATTTTCAACACATGAATGTTTCTTATAAAAAGAAGAAGTGATGCAGTCAGTCTCTCCTCAACTCTTAGCCAAGTGAGACTGGCGTGCATATTATTTAAATCAGCCCTCTGATTACAATGAAGAGCAAGACGTGCCACTCTGTTCTGGGCCAGCTGCAGCTTAACTAGGTCTTTCCTTGCAGCACTCGACCACACGACTGGATGAAGGATCCTGTCTCCCTCTCTGTCTGTAGTATTTATTAGAGATGAAGGGTCTGATCCTGTCTCCCTCCCTCTCTGTCTGTAGTATTTATTAGAGATGAAGAGTCTGATCCTGTCTCCCTCTGTCTGTAGTATTTATTAGAGATGACGAGTCTGATCCTGTCTCCCTCTGTCTGTAGTATTTATTAGAGATGACGAGTCTGATCCTGTCTCCCTCTGTCTGTAGTATTTATTAGAGATGAAGAGTCTGATACCTGTCTCCCTCTCTGTCTGTCTGTAGTATTTATTAGAGATGAAGAGTCTGATCCTGTCTCCCTCTGTCTGTAGTATTTATTAGAGATGAAGAGTCTGATACCTGTCTCCCTCCCCCTCTGTCTGTAGTATTTATTAGAGATGAAGAGTCTGATCCTGTCTCCCTCTGTCTGTTGTATTTATTAGAGATTCCGAGTCTGATCCTGTCTCCCTCTCTGTCTGTAGTATTTATTAGAGATGAAGAGTCTGATCCTGTCTCCCTCTGTCTGTAGTATTTATTAGAGATTCCGAGTCTGATCCTGTCTCCCTCTCTGTCTGTAGTATTTATTAGAGATGAAGAGTCTGATCCTGTCTCCCTCTGTCTGTAGTATTTATTAGAGATGAAGAGTCTGATACCTGTCTCCCTCTCTGTCTGTCTGTAGTATTTATTAGAGATGAAGAGTCTGATACCTGTCTCCCTCTGTCTGTAGTATTTATTAGAGATGACGAGTCTGATCCTGTCTCCCTCTCCGTCTGTAGTATTTATTAGAGATGACGAGTCTGATCCTGTCTCCCTCTCCGTCTGTAGTATTTATTAGAGATGAAGAGTCTGATCCTGCCCCCAGAACACATCCTGAAGAGGGGGGACAGTGAGGCGGTGGCCTATGCCTTCTTTCACCTGCAGCACTGGAAGAGGGCAGAGGGAGCCTTAAACCTGCTGCACTGCACCTGGGAAGGCAGTACGTACTGGGACATTGATTGATTGATGAATTAATGGGTTACTTGATTAATTGATTGATTGATTGCATTATGCATTGGCAGTACTCACATTACAAATCACTGACATTAAAAATCTATGCACAGACACCATCCAATCTATTCTCATGCTTGATGTGTTTTTTTCTGCATTTCTCTCCTGCAGCTTTTCGGATAATTCCCTACCCTCTAGAGAAGGGTCACCTGTTTTACCCTTACCCTGGGTGCACAGAAACAGCAGATCGGGAACTGCTGCCAAGTAAGCAGTAGGACAAGTAACTACTATACAGTATGCTCAATGCAATGGTCAATTCAGCTGTCCACTCATGATATGTGTCTGTCTCTCTCTCTCTCTCTCTCTCTCTCTCTCTCTCTCTGTCTCTCTGTCTCTCTGTCTCCATGTCTCTCTGTCTCTCTGTCTCTCTCTGTCTCTCTCTCTCTCCTGCAGCCTTCCATGAGGTGTCTGTTTACCCAAAGAAAGAGCTTCCCTTCTTCATCCTCTTCACAGCAGGCCTTTGCTCCTTCACTGCCATGCTGGCCATGCTCACACACCAGTTCCCTGAGCTCATGGGCGTCTTTGTCAAAGCAGTAAGTCCTGCGCTTCTCATCCACTGATCCTAGAATGATTGTTTGATATCAAACTGGATCTGTTTAAATTAGAAGTTTTAATGGGAACAATTCAATTATTAAGACATGTTGTATGCATGGCTTCAATGCCTCTCGTTGGCCAATACACATAGAATCAGCAATCCAGGGTTTATACACATCATTGGTTGTATGCGTGTTATTATGTACTCTGACCCGGTTGACCTCTGGTGTAGTCACTGCCTCTCGTCTCTGTCAACAACGAGGTTCATGGGATGCCTGGGTCTGGTGGTCGAGGCTCCTGTGTGTTTCACTGCACATTCACTCCCTACACCTCAACTGCTGCTCTCCATCAACTTGTTGTGCACCACAGTTAAGCAATCCAGCTAAAATCTTGTATGATTAAATATCTTATTTCATGGGGCTGTTTTGTCTCTGAGGTTTGAGAATGAAATATATCCTGTTGTCTAAGTAGATTTCTAGAGTACTGTTTGACTTGGCGCAGAATAGGGATGTCATAATTACCGTATAATCGTGTATCCGACAATTATGGATGAAGACCAAAGTGAAAATAAAATAACCGTCATAACTGGTTTGAAAAAATAAAAATTGTTGAGTCCGTTTCCACGGTAATATGGACTCTTTACAACGTGATGAAAATGTGTTGCTCCTTGCTGAACCAAGCAAGGTGTTGTAGCAATCAAGTCTTTGGTTGCCTAGGCAACGCCCCCCTCCCTGCAGTCAGGAGCGGAGGTGTGGGTAAAAAAAGTGCGTCTTAAGAATAAAAAACACGGACAATTATAACGGTGACCTGCGGTCATTTGGCTGACCAATAACCATCCTCCAAAATTCCAGGACCGTCATAGCACAGAAGCAGCATCTCCAACTAAGCTCTGTCCCAGCCAGGTAGTTGGTAGTTCAGTTCACTGTTTTGGATAGCAGGACTTGAAGCCCATCATAAGACCAGCACCTAGGAGGGCCACTCTGGGGTACTAGTTCAGATATAGTATAGCAATAGTCTAACAGGCTAGTCTTGCATTGCCAGTTGCAAGTCTCGTGGGAAAGACAGAAAAGTTGGTTCAGAACCGGTGAACAACACCTCTGTTCAACAGCACTGTACTTGGATAGTAAATCAGACCTGAGGATGTATGTCACACCCTGGCTCTGGGGACTCTATATGTTGAGCCAGGGTGTGGATATTCTATGTATTGTATTTCTGTGTTGGCCAGAGTGGTTCCCAATCAGAGGCAACGAGTGTCAGCTGTTGCTGGTTGTCTCTGATTGGGAGCCATATTTATAGAGGCTGTTTTCCCACATTAGTTGTGGGATCTTGTTCCTTTCGGTGTGTTCCTAGTTAGGTTTGTCCTTTGGATGTCACGTATCGTTTGTTGTTTTGTTTCGCTGTTCGGGTTAGTCATTCGATTAATAAAGTATGTGTGCTTTCAACGCTGCGCCTTGGTCTACTCCGTCTAACGATCGTGACAATGTAGCTTGCTTTGATGATGCCAGTTTTCCACATAGCTTCACCCTGTCGGGAGGGTCTCCAGGGAATGTGGAGGTTCAGCTTTAGGATGATAGAGTGCCTGTCACTACCAGAACAGGCTAACGCCTCCACTCAGTACTTCTCAAAGGGCTGTTCCCAGGCCAGCCCAGGCTCAATTTCATAATGCACAATGCCAGTTAAACATCAGAAGCAAAGAAAACTGCAGTCCAATTGCCCTAATAGACCATTTCACCGAGCCCCTTTTCCTGGATGTTATGGGCATATATGGGGGCCGGAAGAGTGTAAGCAGCTGATAACACAATTCAACATATACTGTATACCCTTTACAGACAGACTTAACTGTATGTTACCCCCCCCCCCCCCCCCCCCCCCCCCCAAAAAATAAATTAATAAATATGGCAATGTTTCTTAGAGCCAAATTCATACAGTCCCATTTTTACCACATTCTTTCTGGGATAAGCCTATTTATATGTACCGTGTACATGCCGGCATTTTTAGGAGTGCGCCGATGTGGGTGGACATCTTTTTCAATAAATCCATTGAATATACACCATCACAAAGAAATCCATTATTAATGTGTTTTAAGCAGATCTTAAGAAACATTATAAGACTAAAATATATTTTCAAAAGAAGACAAAGGCATATTTTCATTTGAATGATGTTACTGGTCTGTGCAGCCTAATGCTACATGGCTGCGCCATGCACAGGAAATCAATAGTTATTTTGTTCATTAAACAGACAAGACACACTTAGGCTACCCTGATCACAGTCAACACATATATTTTATAGTAGGCTAAGAATATAATGAAATATAACAGAATAAAATACAAATACTTTTTTTCTCACACAACTTACGTCACGGCAACGTGTGGAAGCGCTGTCATATAAAAAAGTGATATTTTGAAACAAGCCCATGCTTTATTTTAAATCCACTTTTCATCTGTTTCCTACCCTCACTGCGCTTTGTTAGGGAGCAGGCGTAGGGCCTTACATTGAGAGTATCTTCATCAGGATACGGATAGAAAATAATATCAATCTATATTTTCAAAAGCATTTGAGTCTAGTGTTCGTATTCCACAACCTCCGCTGGCTTTTGGAGTTGCCTATAATGTGATCAAGCAAAATAATAGGCCTACAGTTGATTTAGGCTACATTATTGCATGCTAAATGTTTCTGATCAGTGATAGATGAGCAAACTAATAGATGAGCTACCACCTCCACTTGTTTGCTCAGCCAGAGAATTAACCAAATATACAGATGGAGATTCAGTGAAAAAAAATCCCATTGATTGATTAATCCCATTGATTGATTAATCCCATTGATTAAGACAAGTCACAGGCTTTTGGTCGGGTAGGCCTAGGCTACTAAGCGACTGCGAGAGAAGAGCTAAATAATCCACTTGTTAAACTACGTAACATCCTGGCAAAATGTTCTGATCGGTGCTAATAAATGAGCTAACTAGACAAGATGATTATGAGCAGCACTCAGCTCAACATTTCCTCAGCCTAATTGTAGCCTAACCAATATCCAAACGGAGATTCAGTAAAAATAAAAATCTGACATTGATTGATTTATCAAGATGACTCTCCACACTTGTCTAAAAGCAGCACGAAATGGTGCTGACATAGTTGACCACACACGGGTAGGCTAATATTTCAAATGTATTATAACAACTGGATGTCTTTGGGAGTTTCAGTAAGCAACATTTTGTTGCCTTCATTTGCATTAGCCTACTTTAGTCCAATATTTTCGTCATCCAGTGATATTTATTCCCACAGTAACTCTTTATGGATCCATCCAGTTGTGGTTAAGAAACAGTGCATGTGTTGGACTATACGAAGAGATGGGTGAAGTGACATGCCTCGCAAAGTTTACAACTGGCAGGAGCAGTGGCGGCTCCTGAAAAAATTCTCAGGAGGGGCAATTTTTCTGATGATTTAGGTGACCTACACACATTTTTAAAAAGATATGTCCAGCAACAACATGAAGACAGGGGCAGCATATAAGTCAATACCAGAAGCATTTATTGACTGATCTCAAAAGTGTTGGCTTACAAAAGCAAAATAAGTTATCACAGTAAAAATAATCAAGGGTGTTCTTTCACATTCCTCAACACTGCATAAACAATATGTATGGCTTTGTAAAAATGAACAACCATATTCTGGCCAATTGTATAGATTTGTAAATATGAACAACCATATTCTGGCCAATTGTATAGATTTGTAAAAATGAACATGAACAGATTTTTTATTTTTTTGAATGGCAGTACCTTTCAAACATGTCTGCTTGCAGTAAGGTAGCACTCACAAGGTGGCCAGAGAAAGAGAACCTTTCTTTGGTGTGATCCAGGATGGTGTTGCAGACCTCTTCAGACAGCCTCTGCTTCTCCTCTTCTCTCAAAGCTGTTCTGGGTCTTTTGGCTCCTGTTGCTTCTTGCAGCTGCTGTTGAGAGGAGTCCCTGAAGGCAAACAGACCAATGTGTTTGTTGGCTTTGTACAGTATTGTTGTCTATGTGATGCACAGGTATATGCAATGTATCCATGTATAGTACAAATACTTCAGTTCCACTTAAAATGGGCAGGGATGCATAAAGTCTTTAGTGTTTAAGTTAGCCTTTGTGTCTCACATAGCCTGGATGTTCAGCACAGTATACAGTGGTGCTCATAAGCTTATGATCCCATGCTAAAGTTGACTAAAAAGAGGAATAAAAAAGAAAAGAAAATTGGTGTCCTTAAAGGTTGGATTTTCCAACTTTTTTAATTAAGTCATTAAGATCAATTTCCAAAAGATGATTTTTTTATTCCTCTTTTTAGTCAGCTTTAGAATGTGTTCATACACTTATGAGCACCACTGTACAGTACACATAGTATATAAAATAAGATAGATTACACCACTGGCCATATATAATGACAATAATGTAATTTCAAACACAAATGCAGTCTCCTTTCATGCATACATTTTCAAATAAAGCTCTGCTTTGAGAAAGATCGAATGATATTGTTTAATCTTTATCTTACCTTATGGCCTGCACACTGCTTGCGAAGCTGTCGAGGGCACGTTTGATAAAGACAGCATCGATGTCCTTATTCTGTAGCTTCTGGTACGGTGGGCTGGTCAAATGAACCCAATGAACCCGTCCGGATGGCTTCAAAACATTCTATGAGGTCGTCTCGATTCTCGTAGACAGTGTTCACGACTCTGCTGTTGCTAACCTCATCGTTGTGGCGGCGGACAGCTAGCCTGTATCCCTCATCCAGTTGAGTGGCAATATTCACTCTCACCAAAGCAGACAATCTCAAACAGCTATCAATGTGGGTCTTTGACAGCTCATTTTTCTTAATCTTTTCTGAAAGATGGTGCATGTCGGTTACACCAGTCGCTGTGCAGGAGGATAGTAGTAGCGGGGCGCTGCCTAGCACCAATCAAGACCTTAAGAGCGTAGTGCGTGCCAATGCTGACTCAGCATTACGACTACATTTCATACTAAGCCATAAGCAGA